AGCCTAAAGGAGGTGAGGGATTCAGCTCTGTGGATAACCAGGCTGATAAAAGACAGTGGGCAAAGGCCCGGAGCAAGGGCTTGCTTAGTGGCCTGCAGGAACCTCTGCAGGTCGATGGGAACCATCTAGGAGAAAAAGTCAGCACAGCAGCAGGGAGCAGGTCAAACAAGGTGATTATAACGCCATCTTTTACCCCAGAGGGCAAGAAAGTTTAGAGGTTTTGCAAAAAGGAGGGCTGTTATCTGGCTTCTCTTTTAAAATGATCCCCCTACATATTGTGCTGAAAATAGACTAGGGGATGGGGAAACAGATGGGAGTGAACGGCTGGGATTTAGAAGACCGTGGCTCAGATCAAGGTGGTAACAGGAGAGCACAGGTCAGAAGTGGTCAGGTTCAGGATAAGCTTCAAAGGTAAAAACATCTGAGATGCTAATGGTGGGAGGCATAACATGAGAGAAAGGGAAGCCTCCAGGATGGGTTCAAGGGTCTTAGCCTCATTAACTGGAATAATGGAATAATTCTTACTGATAGGGAGAACACAGAGAGAAGCAGGTCTGGGAGTAAAAACTGTTTTGTTTTGGACACACCAGATCTGAGATGTCTATTAGAAATCCAACTAGGGATTTGAGTATCTATAAATACAGATATTTAAGCAGATCTATATTTGACAGATACGAGTCTGGAGTGTGAGGCAGAAGTAAAGGCTTAAGACATAAAGCAGGAAGTAGCACACAGATGTATCCAAAGCCATGGAACAGACGGAATGAGATCACTTACAGAGCAGAAGTCACTGGAGAAGAGAAGAGGCCTGACAATTGAGAACTGGGACAACTCCAATGTTAAAAAGCTGAGGAAAATGAAGAGAAACAAGGAAAATGTACTGAGAATGAATGGCAAATATGGTCAGAGGAGATCTACTGTGAAAAGACACTTGTCTCCAGCGTGTAAAATTAGTTGCAAGAGTCACTAGCTGATACAAGAGTAGGGCAGGAAGTTGCAACAGGCCTGAAGCATGGGCGTCCTAGAAGAGTTGGAGGCCCGGGAAGCCCACCCAGAAGAATACTGTACTATCTTTGTGCTCTGTTGGAACAGAACCTTAAGGCATTTATTACTTGCAGTTTAGTAAATGTCACTCCAACTGGATCTCTTTGTCAATTGCATTCCTTTAGTGCTTTGGTAATTCTGGAAAGAATCACTGCAATGATCCAGGTGAATGAGGCTGACAGGATGTGAGACAAGTGATGGAGACAAGCTGGTAAGAAGGGACAGTTAAGAGATGCAAGAAGAGTAACTGTCAGGACTGTGGCTGGAACAGAATAGAAGGCAGGCAGGCAGAAGGAATTGAAGACAACATGCCTTTCTCCTGTGCAACACCAGATGGATACATGAGGCTGCTATTCCGTTACTCAAGGAACACTGGACAACCCAGGGAGAGAAGATTAGAAGGTTCATCTTGGACATGTGGGGATGCTGAGGAGGCAGCTGGGCCTGGGGCTCAGAACAGAGGTGAGACTGAAGAGATGGGCTGGAATCCTGCCAACGGCGCACAACTGCTGATACTGAGGGAGAAGACTGCCCCGGAGACACTCGGTAAGAGAAGGCATGGCCTGGGAGCGACTTCACACATGCCGTACTGTTGTATTTATTAGCCATAAAGAAGAGGTGAGGGGCCAGGGAGATGGCTCAGTGGAATAAGCGCCTCCCTGGCAAGTGCAAGGGCCTGAGTTCAATCCCTGGTTCCGCAAAAAAAAAAAAAAAAAAAAAAAAAGAAGAGGTGAACCCACGAACCAGGTGAAGACAGAGTAGCTAAAGAGGTTAGAGCAAGCGATGTGCAGGGGTGGATGCCAAATGAAGGTGCTCTTTCACGTCAACTTGATGAAAGTTAATATCTCTTAAAATATGTATTTAACTTAAGACAGGTCATTTTAATCTTGCCAGCAGATTCGTTGGTCTTGTTAATTTCTACCAAAGCTTCTGTGACAACAGTTCATAAAACTGTCAGGTCACAATTTTGTCACTTGTTAACACCATTCTAGTCATTTGGGCCGAGACTATACTTATGGCATTCAAGGGATCTTGGAAAGAACCCAAGTGCGGTCTCTAGCACACTCTTAGCTTTAGCTGCTCTCTACCATGGGCAGGATTCATGCCTTACTCTTGTGGCTTATTATCTATTCAGTACTGGGGCTGGTAGGAATAGAACATGCTACTAGTGGACGGGAGCCAGTAGGCTTGCTGATATGTAACAGCCCACCTTGGAAAGATCCCAGAGATCACAGATAATTCTGGAAGAATACTGGGTATGGGAAATATGTGTATTTGAATCACACATTTCCAACAGAGCCTCTCTATGACCATAAAATGAATCACTAGGTCGAGCTTTTGGACTCGTTCAGCCATTTCTTAGATGAATAGGCTATTCCTGACGCCTATCAAGTCTATTCCCTATGGAGAATATTGAAAATGTAATTTATTATTTTCCTAAGTGAAATATGACACACTAGTTCATTCTTCATAAGTGTTCATGTTTTCTTGAGAATTTATTATTAACTCAAGAAGAAACCACTTTCATGTCCATCTAAAAGCAATTGTCTTTAATTTAAATAGTAATCAAAGAGCTAAGGCAAATATGCAGGATGCAGGATAATTTGGATGAGCATACTGCCAGTTTCTGCTAGTCTTTTGAAAGGAGCAGACAATGCTTAAGTTTTTTTTTTCTTTTCATTCATTTTTTTTTTCCAATTGCTTATAACTTTTTTGTTGTTATTTCTTTTGTCTTTTTCTTTAAACCAATCTTGTACATTTCTATCTGGTAACCTAAACAACTAATTTGAAGATAGCATCATGCAACACAGCAACCATTGTTGAATTCCTTTTACTTTGTTTAGTGAAACTTTGTATCGTTTCTAATTACTATTTTGTATTCTTTAAAAAATAAAAATAAAAAAGTAAACTTGAATAAGAATACTGCTGATTTCTCAACCCTTTTCATAATACTTGGTACATAGTAGATATTCAATAAATACTCACTGAGTGAGTGGATGTTATGCTTAGAAAATCCATAAAAAAATTTATAAGTAACCATAGACAAATCACCATATTCTCCCTAATTCTAATACTTATGTCTCCTATAAACTGTTTTTAGGGTTTGAGGTAGCAGAAACAAGATCCTTTTTTTCTTTTTTTTTTTTTTGGTATTTTAGGGAAGGGTCTACAGGGTATTAAGGGTCTCACTACTAGATCGGACTCATAGTGATCTGCCTGTTTACAGTCTCCCAAGAGCTGGGATTACAGGCATGCACCACCACTCCCAGTCTTGACTGCTGGCTCAGCCCGCCCTGGGGGTGGGGCTGGCACAGCAGGCCCAGGGATCGAACCCCTGGCCCCTGCGCGCAGGCACTTTAATCTGCTGAGCTATTTGAATCCAATTCTAACCAAAGTGAAACACATAAAAATTGTAAAGATTTACGGTATGAAAGACTTGTTTCAACATAATAAAGACTGTAGGGCTGGCCAAATAGCTCAGAGGATTAAAGCACCTGCAAGCAGGAGCAGGGGCCAGGGGTTCGATCCCTGGGCCTGCCGTGCCAGCCCCAACCCCAAGGTGCACTGAGATGGCAATTGAGACTAGGCATGTTGGTGCGTGCCTGTAATCCCAGCTCTGGGGAAGCTGTATACAGGCGGATCACTATGAGTCTGATCTAGTAGTGAGCCCCTGAACACCCTGTAGACCCTTCCCTAAAATACAAATAAATAAATAAATAATACAGACTGTACTAACGAAGTGCATACCTTACAGTATACCAGTATTTTAATTTATTGAAAGTATTTGCTTTTTTGCCTGGTGTGGTAGTACACGCCTGTAATCCCAGCACTGGGGAGGCTGAGACAGAAGGATCGTTTCAAGTTCGAGACCAGCCTGGGGTACAAAGAGAGCTCAATGCCCCCCTAAACTGCATAGTGAAATCCTGTCTCAGAAAAAGACACACACACACACACACACACACACACACACACACACAAAGCACTTGCTTTCTCTCTGCGTAAGTCTCAAGGGACCTCCCAAAGACCACTCCTAGTGCCTTGAGAAAGCATTACAATTAGCTTCTAGATAACTTTTGCTCACCCTCTTGTTTCATATGAAACAAAAGTGAGAGCAGTGGTGACCATTTCAATTAGTGCATCAATCAAACCTTGTCACTGTTGACTCCCTCAGGCCCACACGGTCTAATCAAACTGAATCCTGCTGCCTCTCAATCTTTGATCTTTGTTTCTCTTTCTCTCACTTTTTCTGCCTTTTTCGGAGCTGACCTTGGAATCTAGGGCCCTGCGCATGCTAAGGCAAGCGCTCTACATGAGATATACTCCCTGCCCACCCGTTTTATGCCTTGTGCTTCTTTCTTTAGTCTTAGAGTTGGAATGTCACTGCACAGTTTCCTCCCACTAAGTCCCAAAGCTAAAGTCCTCCCCAACATTAAAGGCTCACACATCACCGTCTCCGCAAAGATGTCTTCATACTTCAAAGCTACAAGAAATCTTTCCTCAACTACACAAGTACATCAATTTACTTATGTCTCCTTATAGTATTTAACACATTTGCATCCAAGATAAATAATTCTACTTTTTACAGTGTATATTTACATGTATAGACACACATGCACACTTACTATTAGAGAGGTTATATTTATTTACAGTTACTTATACTTTCACTTCTTCTAAAATTTTTAAAACTCATGGACAGACTGGGCCAACTCTTCTTTGCTTCCTCGATGGGGCTTATCTTAGTCTTGCAGGGAGTAACTAGTGATTAAATGACTATACAATGAGCTTTCATCCCATATTTCTTAGTGTGCAAACTGCACACAAACGGAACCAAGCCGTACGACGTGCTAGTTGCCAGGAACTGAGTGGCCAGCTGCACAAGCACCGAGCTGCGCTTCTCATCTTCATTCTCACTATACAGCAATCCCACAGGAGGGAGTGACTGAAGAGAAACTCACGGTTAAGTGTCCTTCATGGTGATCTGGGAAGTGAATGAACAAGTACTCAGTGGCTACCAGCTGCATTATGGAATCGCCTAGAAATTCCATCCTCTGATTGTGCCCTCTGAAAAAAGGAAGCACAGACAGAAAGAAATCAATAAACATCCATGGACTTCAGAAAAAGACTGACATTTTTTTAAAAGCATACCTTTAGAAGGTAATATATTCTCTTTTGAAGCACAAAATTAAATACATGAACACCCCTCAGGTGAGAAGAGCCCTGAGTTAATATAGTCTCAATTCGAAATAAAGTGAATACTACCTAAGGATTAAGCAACCGATAAACTGAAGACTAGTAAATAATGCCTGGTCAGAACCTGAAGAATATCAACTGAAAAAATAAAAGAGATAACAATCTTGTAACAAAGCAAAGAGGACCCCAATTTTTTCTTACACGATGTTATCTATATACTCCATTATTCAAATCTGGAATCTAAGGGAAACTGAAAAAAAAAAAAAAAAAAATGTGGCAAGAATCTTTAATCTTTACAGCTTAAAGAAAGTTGAGAATATCTGATTTGAGAAATCACAAATAGTATAACCCCCCGCAAAAAAATAACATTTTGCTTATTTTCCTGTTTCACGAACTCATCATCTCAACAGACGATTCCCTCAGAGCAAGGGGCAGAGGGCCAAACTTGGGCCATGGCTTGTTTCTATGAATGTAGGTTGGGTGGAACACAGCCACACCTCACGGCTATCTTTCATGATTTATGGCTATGGCACATGTTACAACAAAGCCAAATCATTCCACACAGAACACAAACACTAAAATATTCAACGTGTGCCCCCATGAGGAAAATGCTTTTGCCTCCCGCACACTTCCCTTAAAGTTCATGACTGAACAAGATGTATGATAACAAGGTAAAAGCTATGGGCCTGGAGCACACGCCCTGGTCCACCACTGTGTCTAGGGCTCATATGTCTTACAGTGACTTTCCTGGAAGTTTGTTTAAACTCCAGTCCCCAAATAGAAAAGGAAAAAAATAAATAAATAAAAATGGCAAACAAACCACGTCCCTTGAAGGGCACGCGGAAAGGTCTGCAGCTGCCTGGTCTCAATGGTCGCACCGGCACCTCATGAGCGCTTGAACTCACAGGGTCAGATGGTTAAATCCCACAGTTCTCAAAGTGAATGCCCTTGCCAGGAGTCGGACATGAGTAAAAATTACTCCAATTGCTTCTTCAAACTCAGTAAGTTTCTGTAGAACTGGAGAAGTTTCAATAAGTTGTCGATCCGTATTTGGCTCTTGTAGCTACAGGAAAATAGAAATAAATAGAAGCCATATGTAGTTTTTCGTTGTAAGAGTAATTATCAATTCTATGGCAGTGTTTTATAAAATTCCTTCTCCCGTGGGCAGAAATTTCTGAAATGCCAATAAAACACGGAAGCTTCTTTCTCTTCTCTTAGAATGGCAAACAAACCTAATATTTAAAGAAGGCTCAAATAATATTTTCCAATCTTTCATCAAATTTCAAGGCCAAGTACTGTACACAGACAGTTCAGAATCCCAAGTATTAGACTAATTCTCCGAAGGAGACACAAGCTGAAGAACATCTGGTAGAGAATATATATATCTGGTAGAGCAGCGGCGCCCCAGCTTTAGCATTCTGGAGAACACTTGCCGGGCTTGTTCACGGCAGATGGCCAGGCCCTACCCCGGAGGCCTGACTTCGTAGGTCTGGAGGGAGGCCGGAGGATCTGCCTTTCTGACCAGTGCCCCATGCTGCACACCCTGCTGGTCTGGGGACCACTCTAAGACCCTCTTGCTTTGGAGTAACTTGACTACTAGGGCCCAAACTATTTTGGCAAAAGAAAATCATTAAAACTAAACAGCTTACGCTGAACATTATTATACCACTAGACAGGTGGTGCTTCACATAACAATGAGCCTTACAACTGGCAGAGAGCAGATACGAAAAATGATATTAAAATGAACATTTTTAACAACTCTGGGCAACTTCAAATTATTAATGTCTTTAAGATATTCTGAATTAATGTCAGTTGTTACTAGAAAGCCTCTCATGAGAGTTTAGTCACTGGTGATTTTTCTTTTTTTACTCATTTAATATACATATTCATGTATAAAAATATATATACATAGATAGATAGATAGATGAGTGTACATATACGTGTATCCCCAAGTAAATGAGAAATCTTAAAAGTGAAGAGTACGAAGTTAAATTAACTGAGGAAAAGGGTGTCACTACATATAGATCTTTTAAATTCCTAAATCCTGAGTAAAAACCCACGATATGGGTTACACTGTTAATTTGCAGCAAATTTTATGCAATTTGATCTGAGTCAAATCCCTCAATTTATAAAATTCAAATTAGGCTACAATTTAGCAATGCTAATTTATTATTTGTTCTGCTTCTTAAATATGCCCACACTGACTTCCACACTCTTTCCTACAAGCGCAGGCACGTGGCTACATAGGCGTCCACACGGTGGTGGTGCTGGGACAGTGTGGCTGGGACAGGGCGGGCGGGGGCACGGACCCGGCACTGCCGTTCCTCCTGCCTTGGGGGGTGGCGACCCTGTGTTTCCAAGGCCACATGCATCTGACAAATTATGTGTTCCCAGGTGTTTCCACAGTGAAACCCCAGCACAGAGTTATAAGGTCACTGAAGGGAATCAAAAGATAAAAGCAGGAGGGAAAAAAGACGGCAAAGGCACGTGCAACGACGAGCTGCAGTTACAGAGCTCACGGCAGACAGGAAGGTCACACTTACTTGGAGTGGGTGGAGAGGGTAATTGAGCCAGACTTCGCGCAGGTCCTGGAAAATAGAGTGACGCCTTTAATGCTCAAGGGAGCCATTTAACACACTCTAGAGTACTAAATAAAATGTCATTATTTGAAATACTGAACTATTTCAGATGCTGACTCCACTTATTGCAAATTCAATAGTGCCAGCAAACTAATTTTTTTTAAGTGTATTCACCACTCAAACTGCCTGTAGTGACTCTAATTAGCCTATTAAGCGGGGGTGGAAAAAAGCCACCTCCAGCCCCACAAGTCAAAGACACCTTTTAAAACTAAGTTACACATTTGTTTAACCTAATACACTGGATTAAGTGGCCGCCTTAATGCTATCTTTTGGGTTACCGCTCCCCAGAAGTGTGCATCAGCTGTGCTGTCGTGCGCACAACTCATCTCAGACGTCTTTCATTTCAGGCACTAGCTCAGTATCACATGGACTGTGTAAAATGGGGTAGGAAATACCCTTATCTATCATAAATTCTGATATTTATGAAATCAAACTTTTACTGTGCGGCACACAAATGTTTACTTGAAATATGGTAATGAGTATATTTTATGGAAAATCCAGCCGGATTTTTCATTTCTTGAATTAAACCTAGGAGTAGGTATAATTAGTTCTCAGGATTAGAGATTTTCCTTTATATTCAGACCCTAGAAGTCTCTGACTGAATCTACTTGGTGTTAGGTTTGAAATAAATGCCCCTCAATTGTTTTTAAGAGGAAATACAGTTTTCTAAAAACAGTTTTGAGGGGGGAGCATGGGTGGGAAGTGCAAGAAAATGTAGTCCCCCCTGCAACACAGCGTGATGAAGTGAAATAAAACCCAGTATTTCTGTGCCATTTGCCTCTTAACAAAACAGTGGTTCTTTGCAAACTTTTTTAAAAGGTTTAAAAAATCAAACTTCTTTTAAGGCATCTGAAGAATTCACTCAACAAGCCCCTAACTTTTCTGCTGAGTTCCCTGAACTCTGAATTCTGTCTACGGTTGCTTTGGCCTCCCTCCTCCCACCCCACTCTTCCCCGTGCTCCCTGCTCCCTGCTCCCTGCTCCCTGCTCCCTGCCCTCTGCTGTATCCCTCATCCACTCTACTGCGCTCGCAGCCTTTCGGTAGCTTTTGCCTTGTACACAATATGACCAGACAACAACTTCCCACCTTTCACCTTCACCTAGGGAGGGTGGTGCTGGGGGGGGCAGCAGGCTGGAGCTGGGGCGCCTGGGTTTAATTCTGATCCATGCTGGCAATTTCTTCTCGCAGCCTCCATCTCCCCAGGTGTACTCTGAAGACAGTAATAGCCCCTACTTCCAACTGCTCTCTGATGCCTCATAGAGCAATGCATTAAAAGCACTAAACTCAGAACTGGCTTACAAAAAACACTATTAATAACAATACATCATCATCATCAACAACAATGAATGGCTATCTCTCCCACCAACTCCAATCTCCAACACCGAAGACTCACAGGGCCATTTTGAATCATCTTTCTCTTTGCTCCTGTGTGGTTTTTAACTCAAAAATACTATGACAAATAGTACGCCTTGAAGTACACAGAAGCAAAAAGGCAATTCTAGTGGATGGCTCAGAAGAGGAAGTGGAAAGAAAGGAGGCTGAAAGAACAGGGGTACTAAAGGCTCTGTAATGTACATTTTGGTAGGCAGTAGTCAAATACCCAATCTTTTAAGTGAGAAAGGTCTGTCAAATCTATGCATTAAAAAGAAGGTAACACTTGGCAGGACACACTGGACACTAGGAATGGGAAAGGAAGCCAGGTACAGAGTCAGGTGAGAGATGAAGAGGAAGAAGAGCAAAGGAGAAGAGCAGCCAGGAGCAAAGCAGATCCAGTCACCAGGGTGAGAACACATGACCCTAAGGGCCTCGTTTAAATGATGAAAGAGAAATACGCTTTGGGCTACAGGTTATGGGCTCAGTACTAAACACACTGAGATGAGGAGTCAGTGGAATACGCCTGGGAGCATGCCCAGAAGCAGTTTCAAATGATGCATTTCTCCAATCTCCAGAGCACCAGAGAAAGGCCTGGGTCAGGTTTACAGGGAACACATGTATGGAGAGGGAAGGGAGGTGAGGACAGAAAAACCTAGAGAACACTCTCCACCATCTGAAGAGGGCCGCTGGGGTAATCAACGTGGGATCCTGAAGGATCACACAAAGCAGAACCAGCAAACATGGCCTGGGGCTGAAAGAGCTAAAAATCAGCTAAGGGAGAAAAAACAGGCTGTCACCAGGGCTAGGCGGCGCAACACCAGCAGCACGGTTAGCAGGAACTGAGGTCTCCTTCGCAGCAGCTGTAAAATGCCTAGGGCCCCTGGGTTTGAGTGTCACCTGCCCAGCAACCACTGCTCTCCCACCTACTTTGTCTTCCCCTCTGAATGACAATGACTAGGAGTACCCAGGTCTAAAGGGCTCTCACTTCACAACAGAAGTCACTCCAAATTAATTCCTTATTTCTCTTGATCCAGCTTCAACCCAGGCAACCACTCTACAGCCCTTGGGGTCACTTAACACCTGCCTCCCTTCACCCCAGACAGCACCTCCTCCCACAAAGGGTCAGCCAATCTGACTGCTGGCATACAGGTTTGCTCCCAGCTGTCTCCACCTGATTATGCTTTCATTTTATATTTACTTTTGTCTTTTTTGAGCCAGGGTCTCAGTACGCAGCTTAGGCTGGCCTTAGGCTCCCTCTATAGCCCAGGATGGTCTCAAACTCACAATTCGGCCTCAGAGCCCGGAGTGCTGGAATGACAGGCACGTGTCACCAAGCCCAACCTTTCTACTTCCATTTTAGAATACTTTTAATGTTCCTTTTGAGGCTGAGTTTTGCTAAATTGCTCAGGCTGGCCTTGTGATCCTCCTGCCTCCGCTCCGAGTGCCCGAGAGTACAGGCAGTGCTTTCACGATCCATCGCGCGCACATGAAGCACAAGGTTCACTGCCGCCTCTCACCAACTACTGCTAATGGACGCAAATCAACATGGAGAAGCTAAGGGAGATGAAGGGCCCAAGCTTGTGCACTCGGAAGTGCTGAAGCAAAACACACGCCATTCTGAGGCCTGTGCAGCTTCACAAAAGACACACGGAGCCAGAGTGGCTCTCAGCTGTCCCACTTATAATACTCAGGCTCCGCTTTTTCATTCAGTCATTTATTCATTTCAGTCTTTTAACAACTATTTATTAAGTGCTGCCCATGCCAGCACTGCACAAGGCACTGCGAATGGAAGATAAGCCCGCTAAGTAGACAAGTGGGAGGGAAGCCACGTAGAGAAAAGAGCCTACACGCACGCACGCACGCACGCACGTACGCACGCACGCACGCACCAGGCGTGAAGCTGCGCGTGACTCAGGGAAGCGGGGCCGAGCGGGGCCGGGCGGGGCCGGGAAGAGGTGGAAGGGGGTGCAGGAGCTCCAGGGGGAGTGGAGCCCCTCGTAAGGCTGCAGGGAGGGAACAGGAAAGAATTCACCGAAATCACCAACGAAAGATGAGGGCCAGAACGACGGTATTTTAAGATTTGAGGAAAAGTCTTAAAATACGTGCCATCTGCTACGGATACAAATCGGGAGGCACACTTGTTTATATGTGTAGGACAAAGTGGGGGACACAGAACATCTGTAGATAATCTCCCGTCAGAAGAAAATTCACACAAACAAAAACCATCACGCCTCTAGAAAACAAATTAAAAAATCAACTCCTCAGACACAAACCATCCAGATCACATTTTTAAAACTATTGATTCTTTAAAAAAAACAAAACAAAACAAAACAAAAGTACCCAAAGTAATGCAGTAATAACATCTGACAGGCACTTAAGCTGGAGCTTTCACGAAAGCTTAAAACGCTGGCTTCCTGCGTTCTTTATTACTCCACCAGGGCTGTTTCATTCAATTATGATGACATTTCAATTTGGAATACACAGTTGTCTCTCCTTTTAAATGTTAAATTGACTTGTTTTGATACAAAAAGCACCCAGTATGCTCTGTTACATGCAAGATTAAAAAGGTATCTCTGGAAATATTAATGGCTTAATACTTTAGTAACAACAGAAACTATTTTAGAATCTTTTTTTTTCTTAGATTATAATTTGCTTGGGGGAAAAAGTAATTCCATACTCTTTATTCATGGGCCTATCAGAAACTCCCTACGAAGTGACTTTCTAAAATAAACCCACATTTCTCTTGTCTACATAATTTACATAAAAACAAATCATAAACAGAAAAGCCAAAAGGTTATAGCTTCAAAAGCCTGCATGCGGTAGTACCCTGTGATTATAAGACATAAAATCATAATTAACTTAAAGAAACATCGAAATGAGCCTGAGCAATATTATAATTGTATTCATATTTAATTTACAAGTGACCATGAGGAAAAATGACTCAGGGAAAGGACACAGTCTTGGTGGAGGCACCCCCAGAGCTTGCCCCTCGACCGGTGTGCAGATGCGCGTGCTGTTTCTGAGGTACCTGCCGTGATGGCACGCGTGGGTGTACTGTTTCTCCCACATTCGCTTCCAAATTCAAAGGCCAGTTGAAATAAAGTCATCTGTAATGATATACAGCTGAAGAAAACTGTGAGTCAAGATAAATACCGGATCATTGAAGAGTAAGCGTCCAAACAACTGCTTGGCCTCCTCCAGGGTTCCCTCCAAGTAAACAGCTCCTAGATGAAAGAAGAGTGCCAAAGCAAGGCTGTGTTAACATTCATAGACAGGCCCGGGGAGATAGCTCAGTAGAATAAGCAC